TGCAACTGTTGCGATTACGCTGCAATAGAGACTCTCGAATTAAGAGAGAACTTGTGATAACATCCATAAACCGAAACAAATAACAGCAGCAATATCACTGCTCGATTACTTAATTAGTCTATCCATCTTTTTTAGATGGTAGCAATAATCTTATTTAGGAATTTTATTTGGAATATAAAACATGCTGATTGAGTCCGTATTTGGTTGAGGGGATATATACCTAGGGAAGTAAATTTCTTCGTTTGCTTCAAGAAATCAAATTTTCTGTATTGGAAAATAACTTAAGATGTGTTGGAACACCTGACCTACTTGTGTATTTCGTGCACAAGGACCACACTACTCACGTTGTTCTAGATTATTTTCTAAGAAGAGACTGGACGTTTAACATGGATAATTGTTTCTGGAGTGCATGCATGGACCAACAGACACATAAAAAGGTGGTCATTTATCTGTTTTTTTGTATATGAAAATAACATCTGACACTGAACTCTGACGAAGTGTTTATTGATTTAGTTTGACACTGTACTGTTTTTTACTCACGGTCAAATACTTGAGGCGCTTCACACACACCGTCAACCGACAATAATGGCATTCCTCAACTTGGAAGGCTCGTTCGATTCAGATGACTGAACAGTGCTTTTCCAAACTCATCACCGGAAAGGTGTGCCCCGGAAGTTCGTGAATCTACTAAGGCCATTGCACTCCCATACTTCCGGCCACTTAAAGGTTTATGGCGAACTATCTAGTCTATTTGAAATGACTAGCGGCGTTCGAGAACGACGCCTCATTTTTCCTTTCTTGTTTAACTTTTTCATGGACGAAATAATGGAGAGTGCCTTGGGAGATCTGCAGGATGTGGGCATCAAACTAGGGAATAGTGAGAAGCTATGTGACCTAGATTACGCGGACGACCTTGTCTGCTTGTTCGAATGCACGGAACATGCTCAACGTGCACTAGATAGACTCTGAGGTGCTGTAGCTCCAATCGGCATGCTCTTGGCACCTCCAAAGTGTGAAGTGATGTTTCAGGACTGGACGTCAACGATTCCGAGCTTGATGCTCGATGGCAGGTGCTGTCAGTTGTCGACCACTTCACCTACTTCGGCAGCAGCGTGACGACGGATGGGAGCACGGTGGTAAAGGTGAGCACTCTTATATTCTAAGCTCGAGCGATTTGTGCTGAACTGAAGCACTTGCGGCACTGACCTGATATTTCACTGGAGTTGAAAGGTCGTGTGCACTGTGCCATGGTGCATTCGGTTCTGTAGCATAGTTGCGGGACTGTGCGCAGAAGACAATTGTCCTCATGAGGATTTCGACCGCCGATGTTTGCGTAGAATCGCCAAGATTGGAAGGAATGACCGAGTAAGGAACGCTAAGGTCAGATATCGGGTAATGGGTACTAATTCAGAGGACGTACCCTCACATCGTATCGAGCTTAGTAGACTTCGTTGGTTGGGGCATGTTTTATGTATGGCAAACAAGTCTACCTTACTGTGTCCTGTTTTTTGGTCCCTCTAGGGAGTGGAAAAAACCAATTGGAGGTCAACAGATAACATGGCAGCAAGGAACGAGAAAAGGTACAGCAGACTTAGGAAAAGTAGGTGCTTCACGTCTTCGTGGTTGGTGTCCAAAAGATCCGTCAACCAGTTAGCTGGTAACACTGAAGGATATGGTAGTGAACCATGAACAGTGGCGATTACGTTGTCGCCTGTTGTCTAATCAGAATGATTGATCACTGAACGTTTGTACAGTTAGACTGTGTATTCCGTGTGTTGGCTACTAAGGCATTCTTTCCTTTTCCCACCCACGTAGGTCCACTCCCTGTCCACCGTGTATATTCATTCCTTCTATTTACACGTGCAACATGGGGGAAGGCAGTGGTCAGTGGGGCTCGTCTTGCTGTTCAACGCTGTACGTTGATGATGTTGATGATGCTGATGATGATGATGACGTACTGCTTTTGATAAAGTGAACAATGGGTGTCTGGTCGGCCAGTGGTTATTATCGGTTGCAACTGTTCAGGTATTGCCTCGTTTGTTAACGTAGTGATACTGGAATTCCTCCTGCTATAAATTTTGCATTCAATATTGAATTTAAATTACTAATGACCTTTCTATTGTGCTGAGCACAAATTAAAAAGCATGAGATTGGCTATATAACCACGTAGGCATGTTGGGGAACAACACAAGGTGGTGAACAAGCTCGTAATCAGTAATTCATAATCATGCCATTACATCACATTTTATATGAAAAATGTTAAGTAAACAGAACAAAAATCACCATCAGCAATCCGCCTTTATATGCCCAAAAATGGTTTGTACAAGCTTTAAAGCTTCCTTGGCTCACCTCCTACCCCCTGATACCGATCCGCTGATAAGACCAAGGACACCGAAAACACCCACCCACGATCCAGAGACGGATCTAGGTCACGCGTGTGATATTTGATCTCCTCTCTTCCACTTAATTTTGGCTCATCGCCTTATCTTGATTTTCGTTGTTTACTTAACACGGTTCATATAGTATGTGATGTAATGGCGTGATTATGAAGCACTGACAACGAGCTTGTTCGCCACCTTGTGTTGTTCTCCATGTTCTCAGGGGGTTTATTAGGACAATTATTACATGTTATCGAGGGAATAATTATCACCGAACAGAGAAATTTATCTTCCAAAAAAATCTGCTATTCAACCCTCAAATTACATCTAGGCGAAGCTGAAAAATGTCCACTTAACCTTCTGCGCACCACGATTACACGTGCTTGTTGGGACATTCGGATCGGTAGTGATTGGATGGTTTCAGACTTTCCTGGTTTGAATCAAAGGTCCGAATACCGTCGCTGCCGGCCACAGTGGTATCGAGAGCAACTTATTGATGCCTAGTTGGGTTCCACGCCAAGATTCTCGAGCGGGATCTCGGGTATTATTTGAGTTAAAGATAACAGATGGTTCCGTGTTGTAGTCCCTCTCTCTAAACTAATGTACAAGCATGGAATTTGCCCCATACTGTATGTATAAAATGCGATGTGATCGCCGTTCACGCTGCCATTACCGACTGCGGCAAATTAGGTCAGCAACAAACCTCTTGGTTGCTAAAAAAAGACATTCTCAGTCATCACGTAAATATCCATTTTTCACTAAAGTGAAACTCAATGGGGTGATTGTTATCAAAAATGTATGCGTAGGTGTCTAATCAAGCATTCCTTTAAAATCGAGTTTGTGAGACACTGTATTGCGTGTTTATTGAAAAACATCTATATTCTGAATCAAAGGCAGTTTTTGGATTCTCGCTGTGAATCAAGGATATGTCTTGTGAGAAGTCATATCATGAGAAACCGCAGTTAATGCGTGGGTTTGGGAAGGTGATAGAGAACGAACCAGAGTGGATTCCTGTAGTCTTCAAAGTCGTTTCATGTCTCGTCTCAAAATACTTTGGATCATCCGGTAGAAACAGTTATTTAATATAATCAGAAAGGGGTTTTTAGCACCAGATAGTGGTTTCAGACACTATACGAAGGTCGTGTATTTCAAAGCAGCCTAATGAGGCCATCCCAAAAGAGATAGCGTGAAAAAACGGTGTAATAAAGAAAGAAATCAAGTGCCAGCAGATTTTCGGTTCTAGATGTGTTTTCCTGGTATTTTATGGAAGCGTTTGTACAAATGTTTCTGATCGATCCAATTTCTGAGATTTTGATAGAAGCAAAAACACAAACTGTTATTCGCTCGATTTCAGTACTTTCTCCAAGCAGAATGGTATACTCCTTTGCATATTTTGCATTCTCGAGTGTGATGCGTCATCATAATCGGCCACAACCTGAGAGCTTAAGTTGGGGAAAAATAGTAAATAGCTAAATGCCCATGAGAGGATATAGTGGAGTTCATTTTCTTCTTCCAAGGACCTTGATTTGAACCAAATACTCCAAATTCTGCACAGCAATCCCTCTTGAATTCACAGTTTTACATTAGATCGATATGAGTGGGTTTTAATTTCCAACTTGAACTACACAGCAATACAGTTTTGACGGTGATCTGAGATACAATAACTGGTGGATACCATTTTTTTGAAAATATAAGTCCCTATTGGTTTCGAGTCACCCCGTGTTTTGAAAAGACGAATTTGCTGGATAGTTCGCTGTTTTTTCACAAGAAATCCTGGATGTATAATATATAGTATTCTTTTATTTAGTTGACCGATTGTACCAGCCGAAAACATGGAAACATTATCATGCAAGGTTTACACAGAGTTCCGAACAAAATGTAAAATTGATTGACACAGCAATCCTCATTAGCAACTATTACTATTACAGGGACTTGCATACGTTGTTTTAAGATAGTTTTTATCCGTAAGAAGATGGGAAAAATGTTCTACTTACGAAATAAGATTAGATATTTCAGGAGAAACTTTATCCTTGTTTACTAAAATAGTAGCAAGAAAAGGAACTATAACATTTCTATACAGCGTTTATCTACAACAACATAACTGCAATGTCAATTCGGTCGACGTGTGGGTTTAGGTAAGAGAGGGATTGCCAGAGTTTAAACATTTATACAGCTTTTTGTGCTTGATTTAATTTTTGTCGCCACTGCTTTCGATAGCAGTAAAATCACAAATTGTTATGTACTGGATATCACCAGGTTCCTCAAGCAGAAACACGTGCTCTACTGAACATCTTGCCGATGAGCTATTCTGCAAATGCCATGGATGCTGTGATGTCCATTTTACGTAAGGCTGATGTGAGGTCTTGTAATGCTATACCTTGAAACAAGAATGATGACGCGCTAACCTCTATGAAGAGTAAAGTAGTCCTTTTCCGAACATCAGGGAAGATAACGACAGAATGAACTATAAGGAAATAGACCGATGTACCGTGGAAGAACAATGCATTTAAATTCTCTGACAAAATATACGGGTGATGGACTAGTACGAATTTCATACCACTCTGATGCACATTTTTTTCTTTTTTTGTTCTCCCCTCCCCCATGGCAATTCCCGAAACTCAGGCAGAGAAGCAACTAAAATGTGGTACGACGAAATCATTCTGCACGATTTTAAGGGAGGTTACAACGGTGCTACTGGTAAGTGTCTTATCGCAGAAGGTTCTTCGTAATTATTAGTCTATAACAATAGAGTATAGACATCCATTGTATATCGTTTTGCTTATACCTGGTGATTTAGTCCGTGAAACAAACTCACGTGATTCAGAGGGATCTTCTCCAGGAGCGACACGAAACGGGCCCCGGTCGCGTGTACCATTTTCACCACAATATCCTAGTCCAGTGGGACTGGTATGACTCTTGTGATAATCAGGCACTGTTAAACTGCTCATCTTCTCCCATTCGGCACACACGGGCACACCTTTCGGATTTCGGGGTTTCAGCCTTTTGGGAATTAGTTACAGCATGTGCTTTGGAAATTTGATATAATAGAGCTGACTAACTGAGACTCCTTTTCAGAATTTTGCATGTTTTTTCCGGACATCAAGTCAGGATAGTTTTATTGGAACGCCTTCGTGCTTCACGTGTTCCTACTGCAGCTGAATGACATAATTCTTATAAGAGCGGCACTGATTATCCTAGCGGCATTTGTTTCGATTTGTGGTTTCGACGTGTCTGCACAATCTCTCTTTGTCATTTGCCCAGCATATATAGCATCGCCGTTGTATAAGGACCCATGAGTTAGAAAAACAATAGACGAACCAAGCCAAGTCAAGGGTGCATTTTATTTGTCCGAAAATAAAGTTTTAAGGGAAAGATTATCAGTTATATGTTTTGGCAATGACAACAATTACGAAAAAGTAATGATTCAATCGTGCTGCTCAACACACTGTCTGTATCAATGAAGAGCTCGGTTGAAAATCGACAATCGTGGCTGAATAAGCTTTTCTCGTAAATCGTTCACGAGGAGTTCTTTCAAAACAGGGAACCTCGCTGGGTATAGAATAACCGAGTTATAAAACGTTGCAGTTCAGGAATGTCTCACTTTAAATTTACTGCTTACGGCAGAGAGGAAAATACGGTGAGTTAGAAGTGAATGTAGCGAGTGTGTGCCATCAGAAACTATGGTGCTACGCCACCGTTTAAATGCAGAAAAATCGGTTTTTTCGAAAAAATGCAATACCTTGGAGTAAGATAATAATCGCACTAAGAATCCTACTTAAGAGAGCTCTTGATCAACACTTTATAAAGTTATTTTTAATCATCACATTTTGAATTGTGTTCTCGAGATGTCAACTCAAAAAAATTAAAATGTATAATTTTTCTTTAAAACCATCCAATTTCTGTACCAGAAGTGCTAGTGGTAGCTCCTGTTTGGGGGGGTTCACTGAGGAACCATAACGGTGGTTCGCTGATAGTTCTATATGGGCTAGATGCTGCTAACCGGTGGAAATGGGTGGAAGTAGGCACTGTTTAAATCTAAAACGCTGACTCGCGACCACGACATCATTGTTCTTGAGGTCAGTTGCGTCTAACTCAAATAGGACTATCAGCAAACCACCGTTATGGGTCCTCAGTGGGCTCTTCAAACCGTGAATTCCACCCACACTCTTGAGATCTAACTCATATTGATGTGAAGAAACACCTACGGAATGTACAAGTGTTACAACAATTGAATAGACAGAGGAATGCGGGATAAGCACACTTGATGAGCAGATATAACCGCGTAACAGGTCGTAGGCTTCCGAGAAACTTTGTCCACCCATCCAGTAGCTAAGATCCCAAATAGGCATGGGAAATATAGGAGCACAGGCTGTTCGTAGTCAGGAGTAGTTTCAAGCGGATGGACTATTGGAGATGACTTCACTCGGAATTTCCCACTGTCTAAAGCGATAAGTTAAAAGCTTTAATGACGTACTGAATGTATGAGGAAACGATAGTTAAAGCTGTCCCGTTGGTTAGCCAAAATAAGACGGGGGAAGTATAACGGCTGAAAAATTCAACACACTCAAAATTTGGAGAACAGGACGAAACCATTGATTGGACAGTGAGTGTTTGACTCACATGGATTCTACCCATAAACTGATGAATATGGGAGGTTTTATAAATCGGTTCAATTTATTACAGGTGCTTTAGTTTGCTTCCTCCATTTGGCACGCCCGCATGATTTCGCAAATTTTCAACGGTTTGTTTTGAAAACAGACAACTATGACCCTCAGAGCTTCAGCACATAACCGTGTAAGTCCCGTGCATTTCATACATGCTACCTTTCGGAGCGAGAGTGGAACGCGGTCGATTAGCTTGGCTGACCCATCGGTTGTGGAGTAAAAATTTCTATTTCTTTAGAGAATTTGTTTCCAGACTTTTCCAGTCGACCACTTGGTTGATCACGTTTCTGTCTTTTTTATAGGAACACACAAAATAATTTCATTAGTCACCGTTGTATGAGTGTGTGAGGATCAAATTGACTGTAACCAAGGGGCTGCATTTTTGATTTCCTTGAATCAGATGTTTTTTGGCTTGCTGTTACAATAAGGGTGTTACAGGGTTGGATATCGATCTGCGTATGCACACATTTGCAATGTAATAAACTTCAAAAATAACAAAGAGATATAGGGGAAACTCTGGCGCAAAATTAACTATAGCATATTCGGAAAGGCTGACTGATAAGAGGAATGCACTTGTTTTATTGATTACACCAACGGGAGAGGGCATCATGGATTACGGCTCATCAACCTCACCATGTGATTATGTGCTGTGGGTGAGTTTCCGTTGTTCTAAATGGTCTACTACTCTACTTCTCGTCACCCATTATTAGGATAATTTAGTACAACATACATGAATGGGTTTGCTATCATATGATGGTCTTGACAAAATGGTGAAAATGTGAGGTGCTTAGTTTCTTTAGAGTATTTCGACTGCTGATAGAAAGGTTCTTATCAGTTGGACCTAACCTGATTTTCTGCAGCTATGAACAACCGGTACCACAAACAGCTGGGTCACGTGAACGATAATGAGAATCAATTGGAGCTAGAAGCTGATCACGTGACAGCAGATAAAGTCAACAAATTGATTATACGTGTTCGGAATGTATGTGTGCACTGAATTTGCAATACTGAATTTTTATACCCATATATTGCTTGTTATAACAAAGTCTACTCACTCGTAAAGTCAGGGTATTATTATTAGAAACCGAGAACGAGCGTGTTCACCAGTTTATGTTCTTTAAACTTGGTCTTAAAGAATTTTCAAACAGTTGCTGTAGTTCAGTTCAGTTCAGTTTATCCAACCATTGACCTCGCACTTCTGTGCTCTGGTTTCGGTTGCTACCTCCCGGTATCGTCCAGTAAAGGGCGAAAAGAATAGAAGCATAGTGATAGAGATCCAAAAAGTCAAAGTATCAAGAGGAAATCAGGACGACAAGGAAAATGTCCGCATGCAACTACGCCAATGACAGCGACACCTAATCGTATCACTTATTGTATCCAACCATTTAGCAGACGGATCACGTGAGACCCAACCTGGAAGTCTTACACGCCCTACTCGGCCAAGTCCAATGGTCAAAATTTTCATACATTTTTGCCACGTCATGGACTGACCACCTCGACTTACCTTCCGACCACCCCTTGCCTCGGAGAAAAGCGTACGCTGAGGAAGTCTATTGGCTGGCATACGTAACACATGCCCCAACCACCTTAATTTGTCTAGATTCAGTACTTGATCCACAGATTGACCTTTGGTCCCCAACGCCTTACGCCGAAGCTCAGCATTGCTGATACGTTGTTCCCACCATACTCGGGAAATGTCACGGAGACATCGATGCTCAGACACCGAGAGTCTTTGCATATCTTCTACACTCAATGGCCATGTTTCTGAACCGTATGAAAGAATGGACCTAACCGCCGCATGGTACACTCTACTCCTAACAGACCATCGGATGTCACGCCGACGCCACAGATGACGGAGGTTGGCAAAATCTAAACGCGCCTTCTGTATACGTGATGACACTTCATCCGATATCTGTCCACCTGGTGAAAAGTAACTACCTAGGTAACAAAATTTACCCACTTCAGCCAGAGTTTCTCCTGCAGGCACATGGCTTGGTGTTGCTCCAACCTAGTCCTGCATTGGCATTTTACACTTTGAAGGAGCAGAACGCATCCCAAACGTTGCTACACTTGCACTACTTCGACTTCTATTGCATCCTGATAGCAAGCAAGAAAAAGGGGTCAACCCTTTACCCGTTGATTCTTATTTGTATAACCCGTCACTTTCATTCAGTTTGGGGCTGTAAATGTGCAGTTGTGGGGACTGCATATTTGAAGTGCATAAAAACAAGTCACCATTGATGGTGGGGAGGTTTGCGTTATTTATCGAGCTCACGTAATCACTGAAAAGACGTAAAGTATAAAGTGAAGTGCCAAACTATTGTATTTATATTTCTTTATTGTGGTAACACATACCCTTTTGTAAATCTGTTATTAAAAGTGACTGAAACCCTGAAGACTGGGGTGAAATAGGTCCACCGAAAAAGAATACGGACGGGTCTAACTAAAGATCAAATAACATTCGATTTTTTGTTTATTAGGTGTTCGGAATCAGCTATTACCTCCAATTTTCAGATAGTTGTTGATTTACACTTGACGTCTGGGTAATTCTTATCTGATTTAGCGGATTTGTATAACCAGACAGTGGATACCACATTCTAAATTGAAAACCGGCGTGGGAGCTCAAACAGGTTTCTCATCGAAGTGGATCGCAGGTTAACGGGTTAAGCACGTAAGTGTGGTAGGGATGGGTTTCGATCAGCGTGTTGGTCAGCGCGACTAGGTTGAGGCGACCAAGCGGTTCGGATCTGCGTCAAAATGCAAGAGTGGTTGACTCGCAGGCACTGTGAATGAAGGGCTTGAACGAGCTTTCTTTGTGTGTGCACTGGGCGGATGAAGAAAGATGATGGTCTTTGTGAAGACCGGATTGCCCGAAATGAAGTCAAAAATCAAACCAGCTGGCAAAGAAATGTATCGTTCGATAAGCATGCAAATTTTTGCGTTTCTATAGGCAATACAAATATAGAGAACCGCATAGGTACGCAGCATTCGGATCGCAAGCGCACGAGTAGTCATCGTAAGTTCCTCCAATGT